ATTCGACGAGTCATTGTGCCTTGCTATCGACAGGGACCTGAAGTTTGTACTGACATTATCACCAAGATATCCGAAAGTATCATATCGATGGCGATCCATAAGTTCGCATCCAATGTTGTAGAAACAGCCCTGAAAGTCTCACCAGATGATATGCGTAAGTGACGTTGGTCTTGTGGAGCGGTGACAGGGATATACTGCCACCTCCAGGTGTTATGCTCATTCACCGCTTGATCGACTACGGTAACACGTCGTGCCAAAATGCAGCGATGATAACTCTCATGAACAGCGCGTACGACTTTGAACTGTCATTTATGTGTATTTTTAACCTGACAGGTACGGTGTTTTCGTCATGTCCACTGCACTTCGTTTGGCGCCTACTACGGAACTATGTGAGCAGATATATGGAGCGTTAGTTAGGTGGGTTAGTGGGGATCGTTGCGATTTGCGGGAATCAGTGAGTGATCAGGAACTACCAGCGCTTACCCGACAGCCGTAACAAACAGAAGTGGGACAAGGTCCTCGTGATGGCCGAGAAGCGTTGCAAGAAGGTATAGAATGGTTGTCGATAGTGCCAAGAAGTGTATCCAGTAGGGGCTGTGATATCCCCCAACACTGTCATAATCACCATAACACTATAGTAAACTGATATATTATCGCACTATTAGACAGATCGGAAATTATATTTATGATCAAATCTTATTGCTGCCTGTCTGCGTAACGTAATCTCATGCTGCTGCTGATTGACGATTTACCATAGTAAGCGGTTGTTGAAGGCAATCGAGGCCTTCTGGTCTTGAGCTTCGTGACATGTATATGGGGCTTGTGTTGTTATATATGTTATCGTGACTTTAGGATCATCCTAGCCCGTCCCTGGACGAGACTCAGATGGTTGAAAGTGATCGCGTTCTTGGGGTAGATCATTCGAGTGTGGGTGTAACGCCCAAGCAAGGAAGAGATCACGGTGGGTATATCGTTGAGTATTGCCTCCGCTTTGTTTGTATACCTGCGACTGCAATCAATCCGTTTATCATTGCGTTACCAGGTAGCCGAGAAGCTCTTACTAGGGCATCTAGTCCCGAGGAGGCGCCTTGGTTTACTACGGGGCATTTTCACAGCACCATTGGGGTGAATCTCATGGCCAGTTGAGATGAAGGCATACAAACGATGTTAGGTATCACCAGTGCCATCCCCATCTGTGTGGGCCAGAAGTAGCCGCAAAGCGTCTGGGGACGCATGAGTCCGTCCCTGTGGTGGGATCAGCATAGCGACAGCTAAGCTGACAGCCCACGGTAATAACGGGCTCGGTCTC